AAGTTGATTTTAAACAGCTGTGTTTGAAACAGTGAAGACAATTTATTGCATCCAAGGGATTTAGGAAACAATCTAATTTTTATTTGACAAAAGATATATCTGCATTTTTAAGAAAATAGTGCAGAAAACCCCAGGCAGTCTTCCTTTCAGCCTCATATGGAGTCAAAAATGGTACCATCATGAAATATGTTTCTTAATTAAGGTGCAGTGCTGCACCAGCACAACTGTACTGTTTCCAGATTAGATTTGCTGTGAGCAGAAGTGTGGACTCACTTTTTCAGGAGTCTGAATCACACTTCACAGCATGATATAAATACGTCCAAATATATCTAACCATAACTACTGGTGCCTATTGGGGATCCTGTAGCTACTTTATTTATGTCAGCAGACATGAAATGTGCAAAGACTGTTAGCATTACGGTGGCTTACTCCATGGAGACATAGATAGATAAATGCTTTTAAAAAGGTGATGAAAATGTCTGTCATTTTTTAAAAGGAAATTTCCAAAAAACACTGTATAACTGTAGCTGGTAAACTCTAGGTTACTAATACTGGACAGTACTACTAGAAGATTTCCTTTACCTTTACAAGTAGCTTGTTCTTAGAATCCTTGCACTTTTGTAATCATATAACTGCATCCAAGTGTCATATGTTGTTTTAACTGTTAATCCAAAATGGAAAGAAAAAGACAGTAGCAGTTTGTCACTTAAAGAGCTGTTACAATAGCTCATTAAAGGAGACAACATAATAATCCAGAGGAATGAAAACCACTCGGCTTTACTCAGTTGATTTTATTCACCAGCATAACATCTTTGTAGTAACAACATCCACCATTACCTGGTGCAATTGTTATAGGGAYTGGCTTATCAATTAGAAAATAGCAACTAGCAATTATTGCAACTAAATGGATCAGTTTATGTGTCCCCATAAAAATACTAGAGCGTTTCTTCAACCTCAGTGTACAGGGGCCTCTCAACCTTGCAAGGAATTGACATATGTCATTGTTTCTTCACCCTTAATATGTAGGGGTCTCTCAGCCTTAAGGAGCCATCATTCCAGCATCCCGGGGAAGGGCAAGGGAGGAATGAGGGATATTCATGGTCCAGTCTGAGGAGTTGGTCACGTGCCATTCCCCAGTCGCTGCTCAGATCATAAGTGCTGGACTCTGTCCTTTATGCCAATAATAACAATGAGGTGACTATGCTGTATTCATCCTTACAAGGTGATACTTCCAGAATCTTCAGGCAAGGTCTGAAAGGTTATCTGCTCTTTGCACCATCTGAGAGTTTTGCAAGCGTATTAGTTCTTCAGCAAGTTTGGTGTTGTTTGCAATTTTTGTGAAGTTTAATTGCCCAGCCTCTGTGAGATTTGCCACCTCCCTTCATGCTTGTTAYGGGAAGGTACACAAAGTTCTACCTCTTGTTCTTGGCACGTGAGCAGTGGTTGTGCAGTTTCAGGTGTTAACTCATTGCTTCATGACTGCAGTCACTGTCACATGTCTCTACACCCCTACCCTCATAGACGAGCTTGGACTTGGCCAGAGTCTGATGAAGTGAAGCCTGGTAGAAGGGGACAAGAAATAAGAACACACCAGCCTAAAATAAGGCTTTTCATTTTGCATTTGACTGCTTTGATTGGTTGCTATGTTCCTACTAAGCCAGAAGACAAATTATAATGTGATTCCTATAGAGACTTCTTCCCCATTCAAACTGCATGTGAATTCTGAAAAAAAAAAAAAAAAAGTTTATCCTCATTTAATAGCTCTATACAGGAATTTACTTCACAAAGATATAATGTCCCCACCTTCTACCCCAGATTAAGAGGAAAAGAAACTGCCTTTCTTTTCTTCACTCTTAATTATCTCTGCAGAATGGCATTGATGTTAGTGAGTAATGCAAAGTTGGAATATAGGTGAAAGGGAAGAGAGGAGAAAGAAGAGTGGTTAGATATATGGTTTGATTATCTGTATGATTAYTACTCTAAAATCACTGGCACTTGACTTGATTGTTTAAGTAAGAAAAAGTATTTCCAAAAGTCCTTTGTTATTCCTTCCAAAAGTTATTATCATGGGATAATAACAGGCCACATACAGTTTGAAATGAAAGGTTTACCTTTAATGAAAGACAAATTGGTATTAGCATATATATCACCAATATTCATTGGGAACATATTATTCACTCCGCTCTGCATTTAACTCGGGAATACGATGGATTAAATTGAAAAAGAAATATCTTCCATGAGGAAAAAAAAAAACCTCAAAAGCATTTGATCTGACTTCTGTCGAAATCAAGGGGAACTAAATGTATCAGTGCATTTGAGGATCTGTCATCAATGTTTGTGAGTTTCTAAGTGACAGCATTTGAGAGGAGCAGCTCAGCTACAACTAAAGCAGGAGTTTAACAGGAAAAAAAATGTGTCTGGAATCCTGAGCCTGCCAATTGCTCTGTCTGCATAGTTCCTTGTACCTTAAAACCTATGGGGTTAAGAGCGGCTGTGGCCCAACCCTGCTATCCTTAACTGTGTGAATAATCCTTACTCTAGTAAACAATCTCAGTGCCTTTATTGGGATGTCTTGCATGTGTAAACTTYTAAAGTTTTCAGGATCAGCTTTGATGAGTGTATGGAAAAGCAACAACTTGCAGCCAAGCCCAACAAAAGTTTCAAATGGAGTATGTGAAGTCTATACTTTCAGTTTTCAACTTTAAAACCTGGGTATTCCTTTGCTGGAAAGGTTAATGCTAATAAGTTGTAAATTTTTGTGCAGTTAGTACTGATTTTATTGTTCAAGAATGAAAAAAAATATAATCAAATCTCAGAATAAGAGTAAATTCTTATTCTTCTAAAAATGTATAGGAGAGCGCATTGTTATTATCAAAAACCAATCTTCCTTTTAAACAATGACTGAAAAAAAAAAACAAAATAGAGATTAGAATCGACTAAATTAGCATATTCTTCTTGAATTCTTAATTATTTTAATAAGATATATTTCTCATTCTGAAGCGAAAGGAGAGGAGAAAATGAAGAGTCGCAGAATTTCGGAGACTTTTGAAGAGGTCAAGCGAGGACATTAACTCAAGGGCTCCTTGCGCCATCTCTCGGTGAAATCTGGAAGGCTCGGGAGAATATGTAAAATTTTCTGTTAAAATTCATTTAAAGGTACTTTTCTTAAAAGGAGTCCCTATGCTTATCGTTCATTTCTCCAGTTATAATCATTATCCAGTTATAAGCATTATCCAAAATGACGGGGGGGAAAAAAAAAGCACAGAACCTAATAAATGTTGTTTTCACTGTGGCAAATGTTATTGGCAAGTGTAGACAAGTTAATGTCTGCAAAGAGTCATGTCGCAAATGTCGCTACTGTGATCTAGACGTTCCCAGTAAATTACCTGCAGTCTTTCACTGACGTGTTTCTGTTGTAAGATTTAGTATTTTATCTTCTATAATACATAGAAATTACATACAGGTCGTTGTAATAGGGGCTGTTCTGTTTTAAAAACGTATCAGCTCAGTTAATGCTAGTAATGGCAGTTAATGACACAAGTATCGGTTAAATAATGCCGTTTTCACTTTCCATTATCACTTCTAGTACTTGTTCAATGAGCGCACTGCTTGCATATTGTCTTCCACTTATTTGTCGAAAGGCTTTGGGAGGGGAGCTCCAGTAACGCTTATTTGTTAAGACCGTTGGTTTTGAGATTTCCTTCTCTGATGTGAAGTGGACGCAGGATGTTCCTAATTAAGCAGGACAGTAGGTCCCAAGCACTAAGGGGGGTGGGGAGGAGGTCGCTTCGTGTCTGTTACAGTTTCGAATACGTGAAGGGAGGCTGCCAGCCGCGCTAGCCGCGCTTCAGGGCGCTGCGCTCGGCCGCGCGGAGCCGCCTCGCGCGGAGCCGCCTCGCGCGGAGCCGCCGTGCTCCGGGCGGCGGCGGTGAGAGACAAAAGGCAGTGCTTTTGGTGTCGCGTGTTCGCAGCTCCGTTTCCAGCGCACACGGGGAATAACGGACGCTCGTTCCCAGCCCTTCCCCGCCCGCCACCAGCGCTCCGCCGTCCCAGTGTTTGAACCTAACGGCCGCTCGCAGCCGTTGGCCGGCCGCTCTCTCGCGGAGGGGGCGCCGCGTGCGGAAGATGCGCTTGGTAAGTGTGGTTTTGTTTTTTTTTTTTTCCCACTAGCAAATTTTCSCTTGCGAAGGTGAAACTACAAATTCGACCGTTACAAATGACGGAACGGTGAAACACTTCTCACTATTACTGGGGCGCGCGGCAGCGGGGGTTTCGGGAGAAGGACGCCGGGCCGGATCCCTCTCCCGAAGCGGGGGAGGCGGCGGKGCTGCCCGGGCGCACCCGGCAGAGCTGCCGCCCTCGCGCTGCCCTGACCACCGCCGCGAGAAGCCGCCGCGCTGTGGTGCGCTGTTCCTTTAAGAGTGGCGTGGGCGGGGCGCGGGCGCAGAGGGCGGGGTTTCGCGCCAGCGCCGCCGTTCGCCATTGGCCGCGCTCGCCGCCGCCGCGCCCGCCCCTCGCCGCACTGTTATGCCTGTGTGCGGGTGTCAGCGCGGCGCGCGGTGCGCATGCGCGGCGGGCGCCCTCCCAGCCGCCGGGGCCGGGCCAGGGCTGCCGGGGCCGCGGCGCTCGAGCGAGAGGAGCGGCGGCCGCGGCGGAGGGAGCCGGGGCATGTCCTGCCGCCGCTGCCCGCCCGCCCGCCTCGGCGGCTCCATGAAGTAGCGCGGAGGGCGGGCAAGCGGCGCGGAGAGCCCGGCGAGCCGCGGGCTCTCAGGCATGGCCAGCTCGGTGAGTGCCCGGCGGCGCGTTGCGGCGCGGCGGCTCTTCCCCTCCGCCCCGCGGCTCTTCCCCGCCGCGGCGCCTCCATGTTCGGCGGCCGGGAGCCGCGGGCCCGGCGCGTTGCTGACAGCGGCTCCCGCCGGCCCGTGTCCGCGCCCCTCACCCTCTCTACCGCGCTCACGGCGCGCCCGGCCTCTCGCCCCGCAGTGCGCCGTGCAGGTGAAGCTGGAGCTGGGGCACCGCGCCCAGGTGCGGAAGAAACCCACTGTGGAGGGCTTCACCCACGACTGGATGGTGTTTGTCCGAGGGCCCGAGCACAGCAACATCCAGCACTTCGTGGAAAAAGTCGTCTTTCACTTGCACGAGAGCTTCCCCAGGCCCAAGCGAGGTAGGGTGCCGCGAGCGCAGCGCCGTCCGCGCGGGCCGGCTGCGATTGCTGTGCGTAGCATCGCTCACTTATTTATTTATTTACTCATTCACGTGGGACGTGGCGCCTGTGTCTTCACTCCGCCGAGCAGCCAGCGTGCCGATTCACCCGCTGTTTCGTACCGCTGCCGGGCACTCGCCGTTTCCCAAAGGCGTGCGGCGGTTGGAGGGCGAGAGCGGAGAAGCCCCCCTGTACTCGGTCCCGTTCCCGGCCCTGCTGGCGTCCTGGTCGCCGTAGTTGCGTTACGAGCAGTAGTGGCATGGAGAGGAGAAGGTGCTTTGTTTGAGAGCAGGTTTATTTCTCTAAGCAGACCTCGCGGTTAGGAGTTACCTCCGGTTTGATCTGCCGTCCGCATCGGCATGCAGGACTCCCGCAGTTCCCTCGGACAAGGTGGTAGTAAATCCCCACTGCTTGAGCCGTGCGGAGAGGCTGAGCGCTGAAGGAGTACGAGACAGACAAACGCTTTCAGTGCGGAAATAGAAAAGCTTTCCTATCATAAGATAAACATGCCTACTTGGGTTTAATATTTCGAGTTTGAAGGTAGCAAGCTGTGAAATATTTTACATCTATTACTGTGGGTTTTCTTTCAAGATTATTTTGCCTCTTTTAACCAGCGCATTATGAGAATTACAATAACGTTTCGACTGTTAGGACTTTTCTTACCTATAACTGTTCATCCCATTTCATCACTGTTTAGTTGAATATGGGTTTTTTTAAGGCTGAAAAAAAGCTAGATATGACACAAGATGTTTCTGAGACTTGTATGTCTCACGACATTTCTAAAGAATTTAATAATCCAGATTGCACTGTGAATTCTCCCAGTCTTTTGTACTTCCTTCTATTTCTTGTGTAAGAAAAAAAAAGACATGACTTTGGGTCAATCTAAATGTTTTGGCAGAGAAACTTCTTAGAAGAGGTCTGAGTGCTCTGAATAGATGAGGTTGTGTTGTGATGTGCAGTGAATGGAGTGATGTTTTGAAATCAGTGGTAGAAAGTGTATTTAATGTTTTGGAGTTCTGTTTGCATAGCGAGTGTTTGACACATTGCTTTTATTCCTGTGCTTTTTTTTTTTCCCCCCTTGTCCAGCCTAAGGAAACGCAGCACTGCAGCTCAGACACAGGGACAGTTGCTAGGTGTGGTGKTCAGCTTGTTGATAGCAATATATGTTAGGACTTCTGCAAGAGAAAGATAGATCGTTTGCGCCTGGGAATGTTTTGCTTTGTGTGTCCAGCTGCTGAGATTGGTTATGCAGTCATTTCAGCTATTGTTTTAAAATGTTTATTTTGGGGGATTTACTTGTATGTGTCTCTTACAGTGTGACAACTGCTGTGAAAAATGCCAGCTTGCGTAGCCTGAGAGGGGACTTGTCACATTGTAGTTATGCATAACCTGCACTGTGGGAGGATAGGCCTTGTCCAGTGGGAGCACTAGGCTTGCGCCCATATGATGGATGTTTCACTTGTTGTGGTGGTCTGCTTAACTACTCCTCCAAGAGCAGCAGTAAGGGGAAAAAATAGATTCCAAAGGATACTTGTTCTTTCAAGGCTTCTGAAATGGCAGTACAAGGGTTGGGTATTGTGCTTCTGGGGATGTTTTATGTTTGGACTGTTTAATATGTTTTCTTTTGCTTAAAAATGTTTAAAGAGTTTATGATGGCAATGCATGGCCCATGMATATGGTTGTTGTGAAAAAAGAAAAAATTCTTAGCTCTGTAAGTCAGTGTTGGTAGTTTGATTTGACCTCAGGTGGYCTACACTGTGATACCTTATGTATTACGTTTAACGGGAATGTATGCTTACCACTGTCTCAGAAGTTGGTAAATAGTTTATTATGCTGGGCTAAGATAACTTACCAATTAGAGGGTCTTGATAACTTGTTAGACATGGATTTTTACAGGTGCAAATGGATACACAGGGTTAATCAAACTAAAATATCGCTAAAATGGCTAGCCACAATAATACTAAGTGTTTTGGCAAGTGATCTTTGCATTTTTCCAGGCTCATGTTGTGAATGACTGCTCTAAAATATATGCTTGCAGCTACTGGAAAAGGTTGTAATTAGTTAAGCCTATTTGTCGAGCTCTTGAATCAATTTGAGAATAATAAATGAATAGAATATCATAATCTTTACTAGCTCATAATGTATTTTTGCTGCTAGTTCACTTATTATAGATATGGTAATTCCAAACCTTCGAGATGAAGGAGGAAGGTAAATAATTTTTTTTCCTAAAGCCATGTTTCAGTGCAGTTGCTTTCTGTGTTTGTGAGAACAACTGGCTAAATTTGTCAGTATCTAGCTTTGCTTATCTTTCCTGGCACAGTGGCTGTGCTTGGGATGTTAGAAATGCCGGAGGTTGGTGAATTCACAAAGGTGTGTCCATGTGTTTGTTCTACTGTTGAATATTATGTAGCAAATAAGGGATCCTACACCCTAAAGTTCCAGCAGTTTTAAGATGGAAATCTCAGGAACAGTTTTTGGAGTACAGGATAGCTTGGTTTGTGTGTTTAAATGCGATGGGAAGATGGTGGTCACTAATGAGAAAGAGCAGAGCTTATATGAACTACAGTGATCTTCATATTTCATCATGTCTCACTTGAAAAATTTGGTATTTGCAGTGCTTTTGTTTCTTCTTTTAGGTAGATTCATACCCAGGCTCTGTTCTGAAGCAGAGATTGCATAACAAAAGCTGTTTAAAATAACGATTGTACTATTCTGCATATCCTGCAGTCACAAATAAGTATTACTGTTTGTTCTCAGGTCTCATCTGTTTTCTTTGTTTGAGTAAATTGGCGAACGGAGAGTATAAGGAGTTTCCAGACTTCTTTCGAAGTGTAGGTTTCTTGTCTTTTTCCATTTATGGGAAGGAAGTAGTGCTGTGTATAGAAATGCAAGATTTTGAAGCATATCTAAGGATAAAGAGTTGTCATAAGGTTATAGTTAGTACTGTGCTGCATAATGCGTAAGCAGTGGGATGCTTTCAAAAGAGGTCCTATTGCTCATGTCTGGTATTATATGTCATTGTATGGATGCTCTCCGAGTTAGGAATATTTTCTTCACCTTCCTATCTCATGGAAGTTGGTACTCTGCAGCATTGGTCTAACTTGCTCTTTTCCTTGCAGTATTACATCTTGCTAGGGAAACTACTGGAAAGAAGCTACAAAAAAAAAAAAAAAAAAAAAAAAAAAAAAAAAGTTCAAAAGCAGCATTGAACTGGAGTTGCGCAATGATTCAGATTCTGTTAAAATGGTGGTGTGCTTTGACATAATCAATTTTTTTTCTTATGAAAGGGATAGACTTTTTATATATACCGATGATGTACTTTGTATGAAAATAGGGATTTGGACATTGAAATGTTATAACTTAAAAAGTGGAAGATCAGTTCCTTTGCTCCGAGGTGCTGAGGGGAACAATTTTTACTCACCTTTGAGGGAAGGAAAAGAGAAGGGAGAGAAGGAGGGGAAAAAAAAAAAAAAAAAAAAAAAAGCCTGCTGTAGAGTAGACCAATCTTTTAAAGTCTTCTGAAAAACTTATATTTCAAATATTAAATATTTCTGTTTTACGTTATCTGTTGCTGCACAGTGACACTTTCATAGATCATATTTTGAAATAATCTAGTGTTAGTTAAATTTAGTCAAAACTAGACTAACTTGGAAATAGACTGTTTTAATAGACTTGCATGATAATAGACTTAAGGTAAAAGGTGCYAATGACTGCTTTTTATTTGGCTTATCTTTTATATACTTGTATGTGTCTTTTCTAGTTTTGTTTCCACAAGTCAACTAGGCAAAATTTAGGAACAGTAGAAAAGTTATGAAATTCATTCCGAATCTGTTGTTTTCTGGGTATCCAGTGAAGACAGAGAAGCACTAAAATTTGCAGTCCTTTTTATCAATAACCCTTTTTGAAGAGAGCCTTGCCTCATATTTTGGGCTGGTGGCAAGATAAAAATCTTTTGGAACCAGAAGGATGGTGTGAAAGGCTGTGATGTGCAGTGTGTTTTTTTTCCCTGTGGAGCTGGCTGCTGTACAAGCCTGCACAAACTTGTCAGAACGGAAGGCAGCTTACAAGTCATGGTACGTGGTGACATGTGCTGTTCCAGTGAGCCCCAATTTGTTTCTTCTACTCTGACTGCATAGTGTTATTGTTATCAGGTGGAAACTGCGTTAGGGGCATTTTTCAGCTTGCTAGATTTTCATGCAGCAATATAGTTCTAGGTAAACCTTGTCTAGAAGGTTTTCCAAAGATTTTTTTTTTCTTTATTTTTTTTACATGGATGACTTAATTCTCTTCTGAAAGTTTATCTAGTTCTAAATTTCTAAGTCGTTCTGATGACCTATGTTTAGAACTAACAAATGTTTGCTTATTTTTTAAAAATATACTGGTGGAAAAAAGAGGTGTGTGTGTCTTAGCAATGAACAAACTTTGTTTACAAGAAGCAGACCATTTTTGCCCTTTGATTTTCTTTTTTAAACTGTTTTTTTAATGGATTTCAATATACTGTCAAGCATATTTGTGGAAAAGGAGGGGTGAGAGATCCTTAATCTCTACCACTTTTCATAGACCAATTATTTTAATGTGACTACAGTGAAGAATCTACTGTTTTTGGTAGCTTGTATTTTATCTAATCATACATTTTTAGAGAAAATTTTTGTACAAGATAACTGTTTTCACAGCTCTTAATTTTTGAGTGTGATATTCAAATAGGATGTTTAGTTACACTTTTAAGAATTACTTAAAGAGTTTCTTTAATTGCAGCTTTCTGGTTTTTCCTCTTTGATATTTAGTCTAAGCCAAAACCACGATGCATATTGGGTGTGTGAGAATGTTTTCACAGCAATCTTCCAGTTGTCATCAGGATTCCCAGGTTTGAAAATGAACCTTGGGGGCAGATATTCCTCTGTTGATTTTCAGAAGAGTTTTATTATTGGCTATCCCACAAACTTGCATCTTAGTCTGTTTYA